GCTGTAGCAACGCTATGGCGCTGCACAGCAAAAACGCATTAAAAAAAAAACCCCAAGCAAATGGTCACATCAAATCTATTATACTTTTATGCAAAGTTTTCTTTCAAGGCTCAAACTTTCAAAAATAACGAACGATTTTTTTGGAGTGATGCGGTTGATCCACCTCTATGACAAAATTTTCACCAGCTAGCGTAATGCCATCGAGACGGACTGAGCAGTGCAGCAGATCTTCCCACTGAAAATAACCATTACGAGTGATCTAACTTCTGACTTCGCGTCGGAGTGAATTTTTCACGGTTTGTTAATTAAAATAAGAGAAAATAATTTGCATTTTCGTTCTCCACGCAAAGCATTGTTAGCCCCTACCCTAGCTGTCTCGCCTTTTGCTGCGAAATTTTTGAAGCGTTGTTGAGGTGTAGTTATGCCAGTTATTTTTTTCTCAAGTTGTTTGTCTTTAGAATGCACCATGCCATCTCCTCGATAGTCATTTGTACTTCTCTTTTGTGACCATCACTCGCCGTACACCTCGTTATCAGCAGGTAGATTGTTCTCCTCGTCCGCTGAATTTTCTTGCTACCTTGCGACGTAGAAGGGTAATAGGATATTAAAACATCTAGGTAAAGATTACTTATTTAAAAACACGATGAAAAGTACTGATTTTTTCTTTAGCAAGAAATAAATTTTTGCTTTTTCGCGGAAGCAAAACTCGGATAAGGTCAGAGACAGACCAGAAGGACTTTCCAAAATTAAAAGCGATTTGAGGTCTTGACATTAGAGCTTTTCACCTTATTGAACAGTCTGTAGAAAGTTGTATTGACGGCTGCAAGCCGCGCGCGACTTCCCACATCGAGATATCGAAAAATGCGCCAGATGATGTCTCCAGACAGTAGATCCAGCATACTCCACTCGAAATGCCTCTTAGATTTTAAAGAATTTTAAATCCAGCGGAAATTTAGCGTCATATGAATGCCCTGCACTTAGTGTTATTGAGATACAACAGCAGCCCAGTAGTGGTTTAGCCGGATTTATTTGATCTAGGACGCCTAGTCTCCAATTTTAGATCACCATGCTACCACACTCGGAGTTCATTCCCCAACCCGCTCGAAAAAAAAGGACTAAATAACTCCCTTTCCTAAATCAAGCCCATGTTCAAACGAACTCGTTAGCATTAGATAGATCAAGAACATGCTTCAAAAGAAGATGTGACAAACCACATGTGCCGTCTCGGATCAAATACAATGCGTTAATCGTGAAAACACAAGCTTATATTTTGGATGAATAGCGAAAGCATTTGTACCTTGATTATTCTGATTACTTCGGTAATGTAAATTATTTTGATTGTACAAAATTTGATTATGCCTGATTTATTTATGCGAAATTACTCAAATTCATGAATTTATCTTGATTACACAAGTTTTTCAGCAGTGGTAGACAAGGAAACACACGCATTTGTGGCGTTTTCAGGGTTCTCAGCATAAGAAAAAGCCGCCTAAGAAATGTTCAGTGTCGCTATTTTATGTGTTATTTTTTATTGTTAGAAGCATGACACAACAGTATGGATTTGAAGTATAATCAGGCAGCAGTTATTCAGGCAATACATTTGTTTGCACAGCGACAGGCATCCCAATACTTGAGCAGCACTGATTTTTGGCTTCTTGCATTTGCAGACAATTCATCAATATTAACGCTTTTCTTCCACGGAAATTTACCGCATCTTCGGATCCTAGTGACCATATTCACCAGAAACCCAGTGCTAACAATGTGGCGTTTTCAG